TTTAACTATTCTGGGTAATTGTGTGTCATAGGTTAATTGTCAGTGTCCACTGATACTTAGAAATTAGACCATGGAGGAATCAGAGAGAGCACACATGTAGGCCAGGCAGGCTACCCTACTGAAGTGCTTGTGCATCTCTGTCTTGATGTTGCTGCAAGTGTCATCTGTTCAGCTATTCCCCACGTTCCCAGAGGTCAGTGCCGTAATGGACACTGGTTCAGTTGCAACATGGAGTCCTTCCTCCATCATCATGATAATTGCAACTACATTGTGATGAGGGCAAGCTTAGTGAATAACTATGATAATGGAGCCATATGGGAGTCACTGACATACTTGATGTAAGCCTACTACAAGTTACATGTACTAGGCCTACAACTTGGGCCTGACCTAGTTTTTCCTTGAAAGCCTTAACCACTTAACCATAAACACTTAAAAAGTCATTTTAAATTACATCAAGTTAATGCTCAAAGTTATTGTTGCCGGTTTTGGAGACAGTGCAACATTGGCGACCCGTACTAGACACCAAGATACACTGAATATGAAAAACATCTACCCATTCCGTTAGGTACAGTCACCGCATAAGGCCTGTTGCATACCACCTGCATACACTTTTTCACTTCACGTACCGTAAGCTAGCTAGGCCTACCGGTCATGCCGGTTGTCGGCTCAAGCCAGCAAAAAAGGCTTAAGCTTCACACAGTAAATCTGGATAATGGCAAACTGAAACACATGGTAACCTTCTTAAGAATGATTTCTGACTGCTGAGCCTTTTCTTCGCTTGATAAGGCAGCTAGTCGCTGCTTCATTTCGCGACGAAGCAGGCTTTTTGCTTCCCGCATGGCCGCCGCCATCTTGATCTTTGCTGAATCTACCAAAGAGGGCGCTGTCCATCGTATTAAGGGTCCGGGTGTTCTTCGAGTTTTTATCCGAGCCACCGTTCCACCGGCAGGATCATCAGACGGTGTAAATTTAAAATTTATCTCGTGCATTCATCTGTAAGGCTTAATTATAATTAGTTTATCATTAAAAATTATCATTGAAATTCAATAACTAGTCATAATTAACTGTTACTTATAAAGACACTTGTTGGCATGCAAAGGTCGTGGCTGTAGCAGGTGATCATCACTCCCAGGTAAAATGCCGTCATAATGTGCTTCGGTCGGAGTTTAAGGCCATGCCCGAATAATTTGGCCAGCCCCCCATTCCTTCCTCCATGAAGAAACACACACTAAATGACCAAGGGAATGGGCTATTGGATCTTCCCTCCCCCCCCCACACACACAATTGATCGTGGTGTGAACTTAAGAGCGGGATTTGGTGTATTTTTCGAACTTCCCAAGTTGTTCTGAAATGGGGAAAAACTTACAAGAACTTTACATTCATGCACCATGTACACCTTTTTGATGTACAGAACAGCACTCCTACGGTGTCATGTGGTGTCCAGCAATACCCCCTCCCGCACACCTTTCGAATTTCCACTACCGGTTACATGATTTTTTATTTAAGTCATCTCCCACCCCCACTAATCCCAGGTACTGATTTACACCACTGTACTTAATGCCCGACATGATTGACCTTACCAAACTGGAAACCCCTAGTTAGCGACTGCTGCCATTTTCCATAGACTTGTGTATTATTTCTTGCTGTAGCCAAGTAATTGTACACAGCCTGATGGGGTACAGTGCTCTTGGATCGATGACCTCAGCCGAAGCATACCGGGTTGAGCCAAGGGTTCGAACTTCAAGTTGTCTCAGTTAAAAAAAATAAGAAGAATAATAACTATGTGAGAAACATCATCAGTGCACATCGCTGAGTTGTTTGCGGGTTGAGCAAAAATATGATTGATTGTAACGTCCCTGCATATATTATCATGACCACTCACGCGTGTAAAAAATGTGAACATGTAAGACCTGCCTTATAGTCAGTGTTGCGGTCGAGTACTTTCCGAGTACCAACGTTCTCCGCAAAATACTGAACTGGGTAAGAGGGAATAAAGCCAGAGTGCACAGGCATTTGATGGTAAATGTGCAAAGGTAAGATTACAAAATAAATGTTAGACTTCAGACACTCCCAGTTGTGTAAAAAACTCGGCCGAGTACTTTCCGAGTACTTTTGTCCTAAACTGTTAATTTTAATCAAACAGGGAGGCCTGAAGTCATTATGTTGCTTTGTAATCTTACCTTTATGCATGTACCATCAAATGCCGATGTACTTCAGCTTTGTTTCCTCCTAACTAGTTAAATATTTGGTAAAGAACTTAGTTCTCAAAAAGTACTCGACTACAGCACTGCTTATAGTTGCGGAAAACTCCCTAGTGGCATAAACCCAATGTCGTCCGAATGTTGCATTAACCTTTTCCAGGTAGATTCCCTAATCAACACATGGCCAACTGCACAAACCACATCTTTAGTGCCGCCCATGCTGTGCTTGCGTATAGTTAAGACAGATTGCCGACTATATGCCCAGCATGGATACCAGTGGTTTGGATTTCTCCCCTCCGGCATAAAAAAGGCACTCCATGTTTCTCTTTGACGTAGCACTACGTTTACTGGTGAAAGGAACTTTGTCATTTCCACGATACAGTGCATTTTAGAAACAACACACGCACCATAGGGTCCCTTAAGGTTTAATTTCAATCAGAGTAATAGATTTTAATGAGTCATACGTTAACGTGCATTGTTTAAAGACTACGAGAACCAAATTGCACAAGATCCAGATTGTTATTAATGAAACGTTTATCTAAAATTTCGTTCACCCATTTTTTTTTTTTACAATGCTACGGCATCGAAGTCACGCTCTGTCAGCAGACCATAATCTTCAACTGTTGCTTTTGTTTCATGATGCTGGGCTTTTACTCCAAATAAAAACAATGTGCAAATCAAACTCTGTGGCAGAGTATTATCACTTCGAATAAATGTATAGGATTTTCATTGAAATCCACCAGTCCACCCGATGGTACCGATGACACCTTCCCACGTATTGATCTTCTTGCTAGTGACCTTGCCTCGCCCTAATCACAGCTGTCGGTTTATTGCTGAAGTACTTTGCAATTAGTATTTCTGGACGAAGTTGTCCCTGTTGGGCCTTGTGAGAGCACATAAAGGACTAGGCCTATGTTCTGTGTATCGAGTGTACATGAAGTTAAAATGGAAAGGACGGATCAATTCTGTTTTGTTTTTGAACATAGTGATAAAATTTTCGCAACATTTACATCTTGAATTTTTGAAAGACTTCCTTGAGAAAACAGGATTTTAAATCGGGTAAACAAAAAGGAAAAAATATTGTAATTTTTTGGAAACTTTCTTCCCATGAGGCCATTAGAATGATGGCATCAGTCCTTCCCGGTCTTCTTGTCTTGTTTGATATTCGATAACCAGTTTCTCATGATAAAGCAGCTTCTTAAAAGGAGTCGGGATCTATGACTTGTATTTTTTACAAAAATTTCAAGCAAGTGTCTTAATTAAACCAGAATTTCATTACTTACTTATTTTCAGCTGTTCCATCGAACAATTCAAAGGTCTTTTGCAAATTGTTCATTTATCCTTGCACAAAGCCTTAACCTCCGTTGTTAATCGTACCCGAGTTTCCTTCATTATGAGATAGGTTGTTATACTGAGGCTTAGATTCCGTTTTCTGATAATGGAAATTTCGGACCAACTGCTGTAACGAGTGTTGCGTAAATTGAACGAAAAACATTACAGCAAAGCAGAAGGACTCACATCCTATAAAAAACAATGGAGACTGCACGTACTCGATATTTTCACACCTGTTGATAGAAGGCCTACACATATCATCGTCAAACCCAGACACACCCCGCCGGCTGTGATTTAGGTATTACCAACACAATCGTACGTGTCGCATTTCCGAGATCCTCAAAGTATGGACACCACACTCTCTTAGAAGTATCGGGGAGGAATCTTTTAGGAATGACTTTCGCACAGGATTACTGGCTTGTGTTGGTCGCAGTATTTGTCTTTTATCAGGGAATAATTACTCCGTGTTTAGCAAGGCCTGATGGGGCGCCATCGGAAGCATGCAGTACGTTGCTCCCTCGACACGGCTCAGCAACGCCACGGCAGCCTCCCAACCCATACCGGATCCAACTAGGAGCAATTAGGTATGTGGCGGGTGGAACCGTAAGAGGTAAGATAATAATTAATTCTTGTGTAACTCAAAACACCATGTAAAAATGTTAAACGTTGCACGGGAGCCATCTTTATTGAATAAATTATTGGTTTCATAATGAAAAAGCTTTTTGTTTCACCTCGTATACAATGAAATTCTTCATGTTTACCCAGTTATTTACCCAACTCCAAGCATGCTCTTCAAAATTGATACACTATTTGGTTTTTGAAAAAAAATATTCGGACATTATGCTTACGAATTATGAAAAGTACTTTACACATTATTGGTGTGGTTCAGTTATTCTACATGCCGAATACCTTTTACTTTCCAAAATATTTCTCATACGTCAATTGAGAGAAAAATCACAACAGTGAGCTCTTCTCAATTACAACAACAGAAGTCGCGCCAAGAGGTTCGATACTTAATTTCTCTAATAAATACACAAACAAACTGCGTTTGCCGAATAAATTGCAATTTGTGCCTTTTTAAGGAGTACAAGTCGTCAATGCCGATAGATACTGTAAATGAAATCTTAATGGAAGTGTAATTGTATGTTCAACATTAATTCTGTTAATTATACGGTCATCGTCTTGAGAATAAAGCATGAAGATGAAACTGGGATATTGCTTGTTTTCAATTAAACCCACTGACTGTTTACCTAACATTGAAAGGCGAGTTAGCATAAAAGCTTTTAATATCGTCTGCACTAGGCCTTACTCGACTGGCGTTCCAATTATCCAGCCATGTGCAAAATCGTATCCTGAGCGGTGGGCATTGATTGGTTATTGTGATTTTTCTGTTTGTGTGGGGTACGGGGTCGCATGTGGTACGATTGGTTTGTTGTGTAAGTCCATGCATTTTATTAAGATTAAGTAGAAACGTTTGTAAAACGAAGAGTCCGAATTCGAAATGTGAAAATATGGTTTCAATGGGAGTTGACATTAAATTTTAGTGTTGAGTCAACTGCAGGCTATATAGGCCTGATATATCTGCCCAACCACGTCGACATTTTGGTGAATAATATTTTGAGAAACACTGTCACTTGGCATTTGTGCGTGGCTCCAATCCTAGAAGCGCGTCTTTTTAGAAGACATCAGAATAAAACTGAGATGCAAGATATTTTGTCAATTTTTGTATTTAACGCTTCATCAATAGTCGGAGGGGCTTGAATTGGAGGACAAAATTTTAACGAATACATGAAATTGTATGTTCTCCAAAAAAGAATGAAGCCATTTCTGTCGTTAATAATGTAACAAAGCCATGCTTTGAACACAAGGCAGATGATGTGCTGTTATCTTTGACGGACGTATTTTAATCATGCGTATAGCAGTTACCAATTGTTATGTAAAAAAAAATAAGAAACTGAAGTTATACCGATAATTAGTACTCCTTTTTTCCTGGTGTCTAAAACATGTCGAATGTATACCCATGATTGGAGCCGTGCAGAATTGGACTTCTCCACAGGTTCATTAACAAAACCTGGGAATGCCAGTGTGTAGCAGTGGCGTATGGCGTATAGGAACTGATAATATCAGCACTTTAGAAACAGTATACCACAACCTTTACTGGGGCTGAGAATTTATCACAAAAGTAGTCCGGTCATTTATGGGGGAATAAATCCATTTTGTCCGCTTGGAGCCAAGAGGACGATCACCGCGGCCGTGTAGGGGATTTTCTTCTGTATATTTCCCAAACTTTAACAGTGCCGGGAAAAATCGAGTATATATGAACTAGCACATTTAACAAAAAGGTGTTAACTATGCTAGTTCATATATGCTTGATTTTTCCCGGCTTTCGAAAAAAAGTAAGACGTTTCCCAATCCTTGCTTCAGTTACTCTCACGGGACCCAATGACGGAATGAAGGGATTCATTCTCCAAGCCCGTCGAGTCGGCCAGTCAACACCGGTAGGCACATGGGAAAATCTCCCACCAAACACACGTACCATGGCTTGCCTGAGGTCGGGGGACACGGTCACTCATTCCACCAATCAGCCCGACACGGCTGCGTCCTTTACATGGAGGGCCCCAACAACCAACGTCGGGACACTGGAATTTGTGTAAGTAAGAAGGCCTCTACTAAGGGAATTCGTCAAGTTCTCCCCCACCGACCTCAGTTTCGTTATTAAAGTGGACCGATCTCTACTTTTTAGACCCCCCCTGATTCGAGAGCTTCGAAGCATATAAAAATGAAAGCACGGAAATTTTTTCTCAACAGCACCGTTGCTAAAGCTACATAGTAACAGTGAAATACACACATTTGCAACAATTGTCTTGTAGAAGATGGTGAACATTATTTCTTTATATGTCTCTATCATTAGAGCAACTGTTGTGCAGTCCTTTTCAACATTTTGGGGACCGTTCCGATCATCAGAAGTTACAGGTGAGTTATAGTTTTTAAAAGGTAACTCACTCTCCAGACACTAGGCTCTCAGAGGCCACTTTTTAGCGTTGAATTTAGATACACTTTAAAAAAATCGTTACTGGTTGAATGTATAAATTAGTTTGCATGCGAGTTTGCGAAAAGGTGCTTGAAAAACTTATGTGTAAACTTAATGTTTCATAGGATTTTTGTAGTTCTTCTTGGGAAACTGAAAGGTGGATCATTGGCCCCGCATAGTATTTTGAATTATCTTTTTTCTTTGGTATGGCAAACTAGCAAAACAGAAATATACACACCATCCTCCTTTTGAAGGCCAGCCTTCGTGGCGAACGCGAAATTCGAAAGCGAAGCGAATGTCACCAGATTGCAGCGATATTCGCTTGAGTTGAAATATTTCCATTTAATCGTCAGAACTTGGGTACTGGTGTCACACATGCATTTTGTTCGAAGGTATAATGAGCATTCTGTTAATTAAAAAAATACATACATTTTAGAATTTTAAAACTGCCCGTATCTTTGGCTCCAAGGCTGCAACATGTACTCACTCTTTAGGCAAAACTCCTTCAAGTTGCCTAAGGTTGATAGCCTCCTAGATACAGAGGTCGCCGTGTAATAAGTTGTCGGGTTGAACTCCGTCGGAGTAACTGCCGAAAGTCACGTTCACGTAAAATCTTGTCTAATATTTTGCCATACAACCACAATCTTATAAAAATAACAAAAATCATCAACCAGTGTCCATTTAATTCTCTATACTTATTGTACACTCGCCCTTTGGTACCTAAAATTAAAATAATCCTCTGGTATAACTACAAAAATCCAATTGTGTAGCCGCACGCAATACGTAGGGTCGACCATTAAAACGGAGTAGCGCCCTCACCCTCTGGAATGTGTTGACCTTAAAGTAAATCTATTAAAACAAAGTCTCTCCCTCATACCGTGCAGATCAAAGTAAGGTCTGAAATTGAAAGCCCGAGCTTTCCGTATCTGGTGCTGAATTGGGGATACAGATAATTAAAACTAAAAGTAGTTTTTAGATCAGAGATACATAACAACTTTCACTTAGATTCTTGGCTAATAATTTAGTAGAGTCCCCTAAAACGGTGCACCTGAACTTTCACTTGACTTTCTTCATACGGTGTTGCTAACAAACCTCTTGTTGAAAAAATGAAATTCATTTTGTTAAATAGTGGTATTACATGCTGTTGAACCTTTGTGGATAATTTCAGTGTGATAAAATTTGTCCAAAATTCAAAAAACGGGCGAAAATTTGGCGAGAATTCAGCTAAGTGTCGCACCTATAAATTATTATTACCTCCACGTACCTAACCCAAAGTTTGTTGAGAAATTATTTCCGCCTTTTTTTTGCATTTTTAAAGAGTTCATTTCGCATAAGATGGAAAGCTTACGGTAAGCACCATGCAATATCTCTGGAGTGTGACGG